AGAATACAAATGTTGTCATTTTTCACACGAAAGTCAGGGTCCATTTGACCCGTTAAATATTGAATGATCTGTATCAAAACAGGCATGCTTATTCTTTGGCCCGATCCCCTTCTCCATGCAAAATTTCACGATGTTCGGGTCATTATTGCGGCCTCTGGAGCGAACAAAAAAACCTACAAAAATTTAGTATTTGGTCCATTTCATCCCTTAAATATTAACCGATCTTTCCTGAAAACAATAGGGGTCTTCATTATTCTTTGACATAATATACCTAAAATAGTCGAAAAAAATACTGGGAAATGTCTTTGGAAAAAAAAAACAAGAACATTTTGAATTTTTGGTTCAAAATGTATGACTATATATTCAGTATATACATTACATATACAGATTTCTCTTGTTTAATGACTTATGCTAAAACTTGAAGGAGAATATTTTTGTCCCTTGTCCCATCCTTCTAAAACGTCATCTTGTGGGAAGATTTTTGTCGTTTAGGCTGATTTTTGAATTCTAGGCTATTCTGAGACTTATAGTAAAACTTTATGGTGTACATTTCTGTTGGATATTCTGAGCAGCTTTAACCCCGTTTTGAATGAGTTTTCAATCACTCCTGGAAAAGGGTACCGAAATGACCCCTTCAGTGAGTCGGTTGAAGGTTAAAATTGTATACCAAAATATTCCTCGATATTTTATCAGTAATATTGCCGAAAATGATCAAAATTCTCAAAAAGGGGGGATATTGCCCCGCCATTATAGGTTACCTCCCGACGTAAACTTTCAAAACACTGATACACGTGTCTTCTTTTTAGCCCCTCTTTCATAATCTGTAGGAATTTCCCGGTAATTATCGAAAAAATTTAAATTTGTCGAACAGTGAAATATTCTATTTATTCCAGCTAAGTATATGACTAGTCTATTGTAGCCTGTCCTATCTGACGAGGATGTCACCTATTGTTGCCTAGAAATAATGCATCATTGAGTTTTATGCTGTGGTTGGGGTCCTTGCTTATTTTAGTATTTCAATTTTGCTCTGGGTGGCGCTATTTTGTATTATCCTCAGGTGTTGTTGTAGAAGTTTGTTATTATAATGAAATTGACATTTGTATACATTTCAGCTCGAGGGAGATCCAAGCCTATTGGTTAAATATTCGAATGCCACTTTGACAGAAAAAAAATTATTCGTGATGGAATTCAAGCGCCATAGTGTGATTTCTTTATTTTTGGCTGAAAACCCACAAGTGGCTATCGTTAGAGCACTCCAGCATTTAAATGTGAATACCATCGCTGTACCAAGAAAGTGGACGGAAGAAAAGAGCAACATCGGCAGAAATGTTTCGAAAAGTAAAGAAGCGACTTGGTCGAAACCCGCGTCGCAGAAGCCGAAAAATGGCTCGTGAGCTGAACATCGTAAAAATTCATTCGGCAAATATTGAAAAATGAGCTCGGGTAAAGCCATTGAAATTCCAAAAAGTGCAAGAACATACACCGAAAGAAAAGAAAGAAAATAGTGTCACCCAATTTTAACATTGAAAAAAAATTTATTCCATATAAGACCAAGAATCTAATCTGCTGTTCTGCTATCTACAATTGCATAGAAACAACACCTGACTATGTGGTGTACAGTGGTTGGTGAGTTTGCTTATTTACTGTTGACATTTTCCTCTGGGTGGCGCTGTCTCCTACAATTCAGATTGTGGTATTATCCTCATGTGTCGCTGCCGAATTTTAAAATCGCTTTTAGAGTATAAAAAACATAGGTGGCAATACTTCAGAATCAACATAACAGCCAATAAGAAGTTGGCATACCTGTTTACCATTTTTTCTTGGGCAACATTTTCGAGTTAAAAGTTTACAAAGAGAACGCCATTTTTTTATGCTCTTTTAAATTTGATTCAAAGTTTTACCAGTTTTGTGGGTTGGGGAACGGTTTTCGAGTACAATGTTGCAAAACTTGTAAAATAAGTAGATACCTTTAGGTTCTGCAACTGAAGTATTGTGTTACTTTCGTTAATCACAGTTTTTTATTCCCCATAAGCCCAACCACTTGATCTGTTGTTGTCTCTCTTAGGTGATGGAGCTGGGTCGGGGTCTTTGCTTCTTTAATGTTGCCATTTTCCGTTGGATGGCGCCATTCCTGTTTTGTGCTATCCATATGTATTGATACAGTGACTGGTTATATAAATGCCGAAGGGCTTTGAATGTATTTTGTATACCCTTTACCACACTGTAGTATAGGGTATTATGTCTTATTTTTGTAACAGGCAAAAAGAAACGAGATAGACCCATGGTTCCTTTTGAAAATATGCATAGAATCACTTTCTGAGTCGATGCTCCGTCTCTCCGTCTGTCCATGTTAAGTTGTAAACAAAGTGCAGGTCGCATTTATTATCCGAATGTGATGAAATTTGGCACAGATCATTTATTTGGTCCAGGGACGAACCTTATTGAAATTGGGGAAAATCGGTTCAGGTTTTGATATAGCTCCCATATATTTTTTCGTCCAATTTTTAGCAAATGGTGCACCAAAGACGAAATGGAGACGGACGAAATTTTGAACAACGCACTGAAGTTAGGATAGACCAAAGTGTGCCAAGTTTTATTGAAATCGGTTCAGATTTAGATATAGCTCCCATATATATGTCCGTCCGATTTTTCGCAAATGGTGCACCAAAGATTTAAAGTGTGTCCGATTGGCACAGCATTACACGCAACATATCGAAATGGGTCTGGGTTAACCGTTATATTGGGGTTACATTTGGTACGTGGACCGATAAAGCTCATCTTCGGACCAGCAGACAAGAGACAACTTTATACAAAATATTGGCGATCTATCTCAATTGGTTTAGACGCTAGAGTGATTGCAACAAAAAGACGGACTTGCGTAAATCGTCATAGAATTTTACGCTGATCAAGAAAATATGTATACTTTATACAAATATACCCGGTTATAGGTCGTTAGGTGGGTTCATATATAGACACAGATAACATACTTAACTTAGTCGAATTTCATATCAATGGTCCTTCAAAAATTCAAGGTCTTTAAGCATGTATTTCTTGAATATAGCCAAAGTGGTAAAGGCTATCATATAGTTGGCTCCGTCCGACTTTACTACTTTCCTTACTGTTTTTTTTTTTTTTTTTTGAAATGGGTGTTGGCATCTTTTTCTAACTGTTCGAAAACCACCTTGAAAGATATTTCCTCATCCGCTAGGTACCTGATACACATTAGTTTGTAGTCTGGCATAATATCTCCTGCACTATGCCAATTCAGTCGAAACATTTATTCAAATAAAATGTAAAATTTATGTTATGCATATTATCTAGAGTTTACCTATATTCATAAAAAAAATCCGGCACTAGTAGTCCGATGTCCGGAATGATGCATCGATTTTAAAAATTGATTTGTATAAGTTTTTTATACTTTCTGTACTAAGTAACACTACGTCTTGCCCAGCAGCATCTGAATTTTTCATTGGAAAGTTTTTTTACAGTTCGATCTGTTTCCGTTCGTTCCGCAAGAAGATATATTTCATTCTATGTGAACGAGAGCAAATATTAAACATTAAAGGTATAGGGAATTAACCGGAATGATCGAAAATACAGTTCCTTTTGCGAAATATAGTTCCAAGTTCTCTCGCAACAAACACAACTGTAAAGAAAGGAAGAACCGGAGCCAGTACCAATTAATCCTTTTGGGAATATTTCCTTTGAACTAATTCCGGAACGTACCCAACTGTAAAGTTTTGAAATGCTTCAGCAAATAATCACTCAAACGAAATTGGATCCTTCACAATTCAACGATATTTAAAAAAAAAGCTCGTATTTTCTAACCGAAGTGACTACAATTTGGAATTCCAAGTTCCTGCAAAGGCGAATAAAATATTTGCAGAAGATTTTCGGTATGGGTCCATTATTCTATATAATTCCATGTAAAATCCCAAAATTGCTGTAATTTCGCATTCAGCGTTTTTGTTGAGTTAAATTCTTGCCGAGTTGTTTATATCGGTCAACGTTATGACTAATAAAGGTCTGGCCAGTTTTTCATAACATTTTCTGGCAAAAAAAAAAACAATGTATGTTTTCGCATCGACCCGACACATATGCATTTTTACGGTTTTAGCAGCATTTTCCCACCGAAGTGCTGTAATTGGTATTCCAAATTTCTGGAGAACAAACATATCTTTCCCGACAAAATCTTAATGAAGGTCTAGTCCCATACTATAGTACTATCTTTAATTTGGTATATAATTTTCTCTAAACATAAACCATTTGCAAAGACAAGACATGAACTTAGCAAAATTTTTTACATGTTTCACTGTTCTACCTAATAATACCTATAAAATCATAAAACCAGAATATCAAACAAATGAACACGACAAATGATAAACATTAACATAATTTTCAAAAATCTCGCACTTCATTAAAATCAAAATGAACTTTAACATTATAATCCAATAAGTTATTATGTCTCGTTTTTTTCTCTGAAATATTTAATAATTTTTAATCTATAAAATTAAATCACAACATTAAATGTTATTATCCTTCTGCCTCTGTGTGGACTGTCATTTGAAATTCAGTGAAAAACAATATTTGTCTAACAATGAAATTCATTATTGATATCGAATTCAAATCTACAATTGCACGTACAGACACACACAGACACAAACACACGTTCAGCTTTGCCATGAATAATCCATTTAATAACAAACAAATTGTCACAATGTTTGTGGTATTATTGTCCAATGTAATTGCAATTATTTACTTAAAAATCGAATACATGAACAAATAAATACAAAACACACACATACAAATAAATGCAATGTAATAAATATATGCAGGTGGTGTGGTTGAGTGTGTGTGTGTTTGTCGGCCATCATGACACACCAGCATTGTGAATCACTAAACACACACATGCACAATCACTCCCAAACCCAATTAAAACGAGATTACACTGGGGATGATTGGAAAATTGAAAATGTGTAATTGCAAAAAAAAACACTCACCGGAAATAGACACCTGGTGTACGTTGATCAATATCTGTGGGATATATACGGCCAACACGACACTTCGAAAAGAATATACCAATGAATGAGGGATCATTCTTCTTGGGCCAATCTTTCACTGGGAATACCAATGGATAGGTGAAATACTCTGGAGGATCGGAGAATTCCAAATAGCCATTGAGGGAAACCTATAACAAAAAAATTGAATAAATATTTTAATTGTTTGTTACATTGAATTGAATAATTGGTCCCCTTGGCCGCCAACTTACCCTCGTATAATTGAAACGGAAGCCGTAGAATGGCAATTGGAAATTTAAATTTTTATGAATCTGTGTTGTCGATGCATGAATATCGAATTGATAGTCACCACGTCCTCCGTACATATCCTGATCGAAATACCAATACATGAAATACGAACGTATTTCGGCCAAACGTTGTGGTGTAATGACATAGCCACCGGTCAATGCATGCGATGGCATTGTTGGTGGGGCCATGCGATTATTGGGATCTGTAATAAAATTAAAGATAATTATTAGTTTATGATTTATATTATTAGTACAATTAATAAGTGAAAAAAAGTATTAATAGGTTAAGGGCATAAAGAAAAAAATTGTCGATAGATTTGTACATCTTGGGACCAATATGCAAAATTAAAGACAAATTGTAGGTATTCCGCAAAGTTTAAAGGACAAGCTTATTTTGTTTTTAGCCGCTGTAGCTGTAATTTGACATTCCAGCTATTCAAAGTAGGTCCATGTTCTGACATAGCCCCCATATAAAATGACCCACACAAATTCTGTATTTTAGGGGTCTTAGTCACCGAAGTGTCTTCATTTATGTATTCCAAATTCCAGAAGAATAAATAAGAATATGGTCAATAAATGTCTTCTTAATAGCCCCATAAAATGACCCCTATTAATTTTCGGTAATTTGAAGTTCCTAGCCCAGAATGTGCGTATTGAAGTATTTAATTTTTGCCGAACATAGACAACCTACTAGCAGACAATTTGCAATGCAAAATTAAACAAAATTTATCGATATTCCGCTAAAACCACCTATGGTGGCTGTAAATAGACCTAAAACAATGAAAATGTCCAAAATTCGGCTAAAACTTATAAAATTCTGAATAGCGCTACAGAACTTGCCATGGACTTATATTCTTCTGTAAAGATGTAAGCCTCCAATAAAACCGAATGCGAAATTACAACCACTTCGAAAATGCGCAAAATATGAGGTGGGGCATTTGTATAGGGACTATGTCAAAACATGAGCCTACATTGACCATTTTATGTATTGACGTATTTCAGCCTTCGACCACCCGGGAATACCGAATTGCAACCACTTCGATGGTAAAATTTAGATAAAACCTAGATCTACAGTTTTCTGGATGGATTTTTTTTCCAACTTCCAAGAACCCAGAATGCATCAAATGTTGGCTTAACCGGAAAAAATGCCGAAAATAAGGCAGGTCCATAATGAGGGAACCATCTGCAAATATAGCCCTCTATTGATAATTTTCTGTATAGATGTAAGCCACCCTCAAAGCTTTCGAAATACCAAATTACAGTCACTTATGGAAAAAATATTCAAGAAGCTTCAGGCGTATATTAAAAAAATTAATCCAAATGTGTAGATTTGTACAAAATATTTTTTCAAGAAGCCTTAGACGTAGTCTTATAAAGAATATTTAAAAAAAACCTTAGGCGTAGCCTTCTAATGAATATGTTTTAAGAAGCATCAGGTGAATCTTTTCAAAGATTTTTTTTATAAATGGAACCTTAGGCATAGATTTTTGAATATTTTTTTCAAAAAGTCTTTCAAAAGTCTTAGAATGTTTTTTAAAGAATATTTTTTCTTGGAATTTCCAATGTAGTTATACTATGTTGTCAGGATATTATAGCTTAGTGCAACCCCAAGGGTTTGTAATGCCGCGAAATATTGGCCATAGACCAACCTTTAAGTATACGGCCATATCTGTCCATTATAATTTGTAAACACGATACAGGCCACAATTATGGCCCAATCCTAAATTAGCATTTAGCATTGGGTTCTGGCCCTATTGTTTTTGGTAAGGATCCGTTAATATTTAGGTGAAGTAAAGGACCAAAGCTTTATTTTTGTCTGTTTTTCTGGCCGCTCTAGAGGCCACAATTGTGACCCGAACATAACGAAATTTTACACAAAGAGAAGGAATAAACGTGACTATTTCGAAGAAATATTTAGCGGGTCAAATCTATCCAGACTTTTGTGTGAAAAATTACAAAATTTGTATTCTATGGCCTATATATTTACTCCTGAAGCATATACACCCGAGAAATTGATTATATCCAAGATGAGTGGTTGACCTCTAAATTGATACCAATTATGTTGCTGTATGTACTCGGATGTGGGAGTTATACTTAAATACGTATTCTGATATTAAATAGTAACCCATAGGACACTAGTCATGATCGGATTATAATTTTGAGATGAAATGGACCGAAAATGTTTTGCGTTTTTTGCAAGTTCTCTATAGTCCACAATTATAAGCTGAATATTACACTGGGAAAGTAATCTGGCCAACTACTTTGAAGGGCTTTTGTAATGATATGTCACTATTCAGCGAGAAGGTTAGAGTTCCGTGATAGTAGTGTAGGGTATTATATGGTTTTTATACCCTACACAACTATGTTGTCAGGGTATTATAGCTTTGTGCAGCCACAAGAGTTTGTAACGCCGCGAAATATTGGTCCTAGACCCACCTTTAAGTATACCGATGGTCATATCTCGACAAGCTGAGTCGATCTAGACATGTGTGTCCGTCGTCCGTCCGTCTGTCCATTATAATTTGTAAACACGATACAGGCCACAGTTATGGACCAATCTTTACGAAATATTGCATGTAGGTTGGGTTCTGGCCAATGAAGACCCCTATTGTTTTTGGGAATGATCGGTTAATATTTAGGGGATGAAATGGACCAAATACTTAATTTTTGTCGGTTTTTCTGGTCGGTCTAGAGTCCGCAATTATGGCCCAAACATCGCGAATTTTTGCATGGAGAAGGGGATAGGGCCAAAGAATAAGCATGCCTGTTTTGATAAAGATCGGTCAATATTTAGCGGGTCAAATGGATCCTGACTTTTGTGTGAAAAATGACAAAATTTGTGTTCTATATCGTATATATTTACCCATGAAGGACATAGCCCCGAAAAGTTTATGTTTTATCCAAGAGGAGTGGTTGACCTTTAAATTAATACCAATTATATTGTTGTATGTGCTCGGATGTGGGAGTTTACAGGTATCTTTTTATTTGTATATTATTTAGTAACCCATTATTACTCTAGAGAGCGGAAATATAGCGCTGATCGCTTTGAAATGTTCCATGTGGTTCCAGTTATGGTCAAGGACAACGCATATAATTTTCGGTGATGATCAGATAATAATTTTGGAATGAAGTGGACCGAAAACTTAATTTTTTGGCCACAAATGCTGTACTGAATACTCATAATATTCGGAAAATATGTCAGTGAAAGGAAGATGTGCTGTTTACCTCTAATCGGGCAAGAGGGTGCAAGTATTACGAAATATTGCCCACGCTCGGAATAAACATCCGCAGAAGGTTTGATTTCCGTGGTACTGCTCCGCTCACTGGTTTTAATTATTCTTGCAACAAGTCTTAGGCGTAAATTTTTCAAGTAGTCTTAGGGATATATATTAAAAGTAGTATCATATAGGTTTTTAATGAATACAATTTGAGAAACCTTCGGCGGAGATTTTTTAAAGAATAATTGTGTGATAGATCGCATTGTTATGGCCCACAATGATACGTCGTTTTTCAAAGTCAGACAAATTGTGGAGCAATGAAGGCCAATTGAAGGTCCATACAAAAGAAACATACGATCATTTGATTCAAAGTGTTTCTTTCGATAAACTATCCCTGAAACTATCAAGGTGGAGCGTACATTAAATTTATCATTCCCTCGAAACATTCACCGGAGACCCTACAAAGTATACAGTATATTACATCTTCGTCTGTCAGTCCGAGGATATTTAAAATAGAGCTTTGAACTTTTGTACATACCATGTACTCTCAATCTTTAGTACGTTTTTTAATCGAATTTGTTGTAATTTAATACTTTGAGTTCCCATTGGATAACAATAGCCCCTATCAAAAATTATCGATATAGGACCGATAGGTATTCCCTATCGATCCACTTTTGAGGTATCCCCATTATTCGGTATTTTGGGCACGTTTCAAAACCGAATTGGCTTTAATTTGTTTCTCATTAGGTGTCAAATTGGCCTACCAAAATTTAACATTGGTATAGACCGCCATTAATGAAGACCCCAAAGGATTACTGGCATTATAAATGTCCACCTCATGCTGGAGGTTATAAAAAGTTCGGCCGGTTCGAAAATGTTTACGAAATAATTCTATATTATTTCGATTCATATTTCAAGTTATTCTAAACAGCACAGCACATGACAGTACGTCAAAATGCACTGAATACGTTTATGCTAAATAATGGCCTACATTAAGTCAAGATACTCTAAACAACACAGCACATGACTGTACGTCAAAATGTAATGAGTACGTTTATGTAGTCGATCCAGTCCAACAACTTCTTTTTATATTGAGGGCACAATGTCATTATGTTGGCAAATTGATTTTTCCGGGCACTGTAAACAACACAACATTACACATTTTAAAATTTTCTAAAACAAATATATTTTGAAAACAATCCAAAAATTCTTGGCTAACATATGAATGTAAACCTATCACATATAATCCCAGTATTGTTTTTATTTTCCACCACCAATCAATGATTAATGCCACTTTGAAATAATAATTTTCCCATTTTTTTCATTTCCCACACAATAAAGAAAAACCATTTTAAATCACACACAAACACCCCGAAACTTTTCTCATAAAAATCAAAAATTTCAAAGTTCAGCAAAAGGAAAGAAAAATTAAAAAAAAAAACAAAAACAACTATAAAATATTTTCACTTTTCATTTCAAAAAAACATAATTTTCTTTATTGATATTGTTAAAGTCATACTTTAAAAGTTTTTATAAAACTATTTATGTACTAAGTACACATGGCTATATTTTATATTATATACTTATAAAACTAAAACACACACACTTACATACATACAACTAAGTATGTGTACCTAAATGCTAGAGACTAAAGTTAAACTAAATACTAAATAAAGCAAAGTTAAGGGCGATAATAAAGTCTTTAGTAGAAGACAAGGGGTGTTAGGGGGGAGCAGAAGAAGGGGGAGGGGCGAATAAAGAGGAAAGACAAACGGCAAAAAAGTTTCAAACTTATATAAATGTACACTATCCTCAAGGTAATAAGAGATTTGCAGGGGAAGAGGTAATGGGTGAGGGGAGGGAAATGGAAGGGGTGGTTAGAACTGAAAGTGAAACCACAAAAACCCAATGCAAAAGGCTCCAATATTTGTTGTTCTTGTAGTTTTTGTTTTTTGGCGAAATGCTCTGGGATTTTTCGTGGCCAC